GTAAGCATTAGCAACCCTCTGAGAACTGATCAAACTAGCTAGAGGTACGTACAACCAGTCTTTTGCAGAGTCCTCTTATATATGTCAGCTTCGAATTAGTCCCAAAAGGTACAGAATGCGAGGAATTAAATATTTATTTATTTATATCAAATGTCAGGCGTCTTGATGGTTATCATTAGCCCTTTAGTTGACTTCAGGCTTCACAGAGGGGAAGGAGCATCAAATTGAAAAAAATAGAGAGGGGGGAACAGAAGAGTGTTTCAAAGATGTAAGAGATAAACACAAAGGCAGAACAAAGGTGGGTTGAATACTGTGGAAGGGGTCGAATATGACATACAGTGAGGTGATGGTAGTTTGAAGTGAGAAGTCAACTGCCAGTTAATAGACTTTTTTACCGTATGAATATACGTTGCCCATGGTGCACCATGTGAAGGTAAGTCTATCGCACACCCCAGGAATTAAATATACAACGCGTATTAAATGCTATCCGCGATCGATCACTAATTGCCTGGTTGGTCTCTGCTCCCACAATTACACTCTCTCCCGATGCTATCGACTGCTCGGTTGAATTTCCAAGTGTTCCAGTGCTGTATACCCTATGGTTTTGAGAGTTAGCGAAACCATTTGCTTTGTAAAGAGTAGTAATGTTGTGAGATACCACTCGCGACAATTGAAATCAGGAGAACATTTTACTTCGTTCAATTCTGCTATCCACTTCTTCCAGTAAATTGTCCTTTACTAAACCATTCCCAGTCCCCGCTTTTGTTTTAATGGCCCATCTAGACCCGAAGCTATTAAAAGGAAGTTGAGCACGAACATGAGGTGGTAATTAAGAACACATGAATTATAAAAAAAGTGAACTTTGATCCAATTGATAACGACCTTAAAATCTCACGAACTTGCCTTTAGCGTTGTTTGCATCTATCCTTCAACTTCCAGTGCCATCAGTCACAGAAAAGGAGAACGGTGTGCTCACAGCTTGTCCAAACTTTGCTTCGTTCCGTCCAATTGATTCTCAGTACACACACGATTGGAGTGGTTACCCGATTATTTTAATACATTACCAGTCAACATGTAAGGCGTTATAGCGAGGCACTTACGAAGACAGTTGCACGCAAACATAAGTTGCATTTGACAACCCTCCTCTCATCTATAGGTTCTAGTTTATATTTATATACCCGACGTTGACTGTAACTTTAGCGCACTTACAATGACTGTCAAAACCCATGGCCAATTAAAAAGCACAGCAAATGGAGTCTGCACCAATAAGAAGAGGGACAGATGACTGCTGCATATACATCTCTACATTAGCGACCACATCTGGCACTGTCTTTGCGCCATTTCTCTCATTCTCTCGGAAGGCATCTCCGCTTTAGATTCCACCCACAAGATTAGTATCTCGGGATCAAGCTATCAGTTATCAAGCGCATTACTAAAACAGGGGAAAATCTGTCTTTTTTCGCGTTAGTCAATATCATAATCAAACTGTTGTGATGCAAATGACCTACACACCAAGACGTTAAAGTCAACAAAAGGATGCACTTCAAATCAGTCTGCTTGTGTATAATCTTCCTACTACTCGGTTCCCTAATTACGGTATCTGGACAACTCAATCTCTGGGCCGATAGGAAGCTAGTGGCTCGAATAATTGAATCGATACCTTCTAATGGAAAAGACTATTCCAGCCTAAAGTGCCCCAGACAACGACCAGATATTATTCAACACGGTGTGTTCGATTGATTACTTATATGGATCATTGTTAATTAAAACAATACTTGTAGTCTAGTTAACCTTGCATGTTTATGCTCTCTGTTATCTATACCACAGATAACTTATCGGACAATTAACCAGTGCATGTCATCTATAATTTAAGTTTGCCGTAACTGATCACCTTGCCAATTACCTATTTTTCTTTGTTTCAGTTCCTCCACAACTCTTCCTCGTATTGAATGGACATATACTTCAAGAAGTCTACGACAAAATTCTTCACAGTGTACATCAACCCTTGCCCCCTCAAATTGAAATCATTCGACTAAAATGGCGTGCAGGGCTTGAACGGGTACACAGTGATTTATAACACTACCTCTAAAGAGGCTTTAGAAATATTTCACTTAAATAGAGGGAAAATATCCTCAACCAAGTTTTAAAAGAAATCTAGAATTTATCATATCTCTAACTGAAATCAACCCTTGCCGTTGACTAATCAAGCCACAGAATGCATCGATCAAATATCCTCGACTTAAGAGAAGTCCATTTTGAGTATTTCGTCATCCGTGTACCAGAACAATGCCATAGAATGCAAGTCCAAGTAGCAAAATTTTTTGCATACAGGAAAATAGGCCCCGGTCTAGAGGTTCCTAAAGGAGAAATATAGGCAGGCTACCCCTAAGCCTCCAATGCAAACCAACTACTTATCCTACTATTGAATCTCAAACTACATCATTCAATGATTAAAAACCTAAATAAAACTGATCCTAAAGCGGACTTTAACTGCTTTTTGCTATTTTAGTTAACATACAACATCTCCATGATCTCCCTAAACAAAAGCCTTCTGTTCGATCCTCTTCTCAACATTGCCAATAATGGCATCATTCCAGCAATGGAGTCAGGTACATCAATCCCTTATTACGACACTCGACAGAACTAGTTTTATTTAACATACCGCCTCAATTGTAGATGTGCAAATCACCCTAGCCTGCACAGGTAAGACATCCGGATTCGCCGCCTTCAAGCTACACTTAGACATAAGACGCGAATTTGAGGGTTTACGTAAAATACCCCGCATCGACTTTGTAGCCCAGAAGTACTGCCTCAGCAAACGTAAGCGGCATGAGTGTTCAGGTCGTAACGACTCAACGGCGGAAATGCAGACTAAATTTCATTTTCTTGTAGAAAAATTCAGGAAGTTCCATATAAAGTGCGACTGCCGGGCTCGATGTCAAAAGCGATACCCACCCGTGTATTACAACAAAGCCCACAGGAAAAAATGCAATCAGGAATGCCGAACATACTTAAACTCAAGCCGGAATACACCACGGTACAATTACTACTTACGAGAGAATCACCGCCGGCGATCATTTTTATAGATTAATGTAAAGCCATAAACGATGTGATATACAAATGAATAAAAAAATCCTCAAATGTACAAGTATGGGCAAAATTATTGAAATAATAAATCTTAGCCTACATTAATATAACTAGCGATAATATCTAGTTCCAGGAAAGCAACATATGAGAATCGCATTAAAAGGAAAAGCCACATTATAATTGTACCATATGCATTCAAAAATCCATTTATTAAACTATTTTAACGATAAGATTTCTGGTAGCGGGCACGAGCACCGGGACCACCGAATTTCTTGGGCTCACAGTGACGAGGATCGGCAACAATAAGTGTTTTGTCGAATCCAATAAATGTATCACGTAAGGTCTTGCGAGAGTGCTCATCAACAAACTTCATGTGATAAGCAACAAGAGACTTAGCAAGAGCCTGGCGGATAGCATAGATCTGCGCCACACGACCACCACCGCTAACACGAATTCGGATATCCAGAGGCTTGAATCTATCCTTTCCAATAAGAGCAATAGCTTCCAGAATTTTTGGGAGCAACGGTTGAGGCTGAACCAATTCCAAAGGGCGGCCATTTACGCGGATATTTCCACTACCGGGCCTGACGAGAGCAACAGCAGTAGCATTTTTCTAAATAATAAATAGTTTCCCTGCAAAAATAACTATACCTTTCGGCCGAAAACCTGTACGTATTCCTTTTGAGGGCGCATAACTAACAACCTCGCTAGAGAATCCAAAAAGTGCGCCAGGACGATTGAAATAACAAAAGCCATGAAAAGCTGTTTTTATAAATAATTCAATAAGATATGATAAAATAAATTTAGATTAATACTATTTATTCATGTTTTATATTTTATATTTATATTGCTATTGAGCAGCAGGTATATAGTTTAACCAATTTTATTCGTATGATCAATTAAAATGCTGCATTTTACTTTAAACCTCGAACTGTTTATAAGTACAAATAAAATGTGTTAATAAGTGCTTTCATTTAAAAATGATCTAACTTGATCTTATAGCAATGTTCAAAGAGGAAAATGGTCCCTGGATTTTTCAAGATTGTGAAAATTTTATTCAGAGTCAAAACATACAAAAGAAATGAAAATACGCTTTCCGTATATTATTAAAAATGTCTTTTTTTCTATATAGACCTATTCGTCGAACTTTGGCTTTGATGTCGAAATTTTTTAAATATTGTCTTATACCATCAATTTGTATATCCATAAGTCTTATAAGCTACAAATTAAAAAAATCTCTTAAAAAATTATTACAGGTAATATAATCTGTCGGTACAATAAAATTGAGTGCAAAGGGAGTGAAATCTCTGTTCACTTTATTTCAGAGGATCTTGCCCATTTATGCATAATTCAACACTACGTTTAATAAATATTATTGATATCGGTTGGCTAATATATGTATATATATATATATATATATATATATATATATGTGTGTGTGTGTGTGTGTGTGTGTGTGTACTTTAAACTTATCCTCACTTCTGAAGTGACTTATCAATAAATAAGAAACCTTAGCAATCGAAAAACATTGATAAGTATTTAATGAGAACATTTTTTAAGTAGATTTCATTCGACAAGCTTATAATTGCTTATTTGCGTTATAATTATTAATGCAGATAAATGTGCTGTTTCATCATTGTTTGTACGTATTTCTTACTGAATTCAGCTCATTTTAGTCATTTATCGAATAAGTTTCTTCAGGAAATAGAGCCAAACGTATTTCTGAATATCTGCAAAAAATTAAATATTTAAAATCTAGAGCTTGAGTACATTTGATACGCAGTCAATAAAGATATTTTCTGTTATTTATAGTCATTTGCTCAACTTAAAACAAAAACCATGCTAGCCTTTGTCTTTTTAAAGTGAGTTAAGTTTGGTCATATTTTTTTCCTATGCAGAAAAACTCTACTTTGGCTTATATTGTATTCAGTCTGCTAATGCCAAGTTGGTTCTTTCGTTCCAATACATTCTCAGTGTTATATGTTGTCTTTGTTTGAAAGTAAGTGAAGAAAATGAAGAAGAACATTAATCTAATGGTTTGTGTGGTGGCTTTTCAATTTCTAAATATTGAAGGGCCTCAAGATTATCACATTGCTCTTAAATCTGGCTCTGCTATAAGTATTTCAACTTTAAAATTTGAAGTTTAACCAAATATTGGCACTCACACTAATTGGGCCTCCCCTCTTCTTACTTTTTAACCTTTGACCACCCTCTTATTGCATCACATAAAACATCAATATAAATTTAAAAAGAGATAGATTAGTTTGTGGGACACTTTATCGCTTAGTGCGTTATCGCGTGTCTGCACGCCAGGATTAGGAGGTGCTGCCGTACAACTCTGTGTACAGCGACCGTACA